TCTTTTTCAAAACGTTTACAGAACTCCGTTAACGAAAGTATCCGCATACGGTCTTAAGGACGAGAGTGAATTTGGCATCGAATGGAAAGTGGGATTGGGTCCGAAACTGACGGAACTCGTGCATCCTTAAAGTCATACGCAAAAGCAAAAGTACAGTTGTCAAATTCAACCCAGATTCAAAGATGGCCGACGTACGTAGGCTCACTCGTAACAAAGCGCCAGGCACTTGGCACAAACAACAACAACCTAACCTAACTCAGTTTATCTATACGAAGCATATTGAATCAACAATCTCTTTAATGGACAAACGCAAAACTCATCGACTACAGGAACAAGTCCGCGTGCACTGAACCCAGGACCCAGAACAACAAAGCTGTTTACCGTGATACTTTCTTCGTTGGATAGTCATCGGCGCGACGGTGACGTCGCAACGCTTTTGCTCGTGACGTAGCCTCGTAGGCAGACACGTACGTCGTGCGAAACTCTAATGGAGTCAGAACTCGTCGCTCTTATTTTTTTCTCTCGCATACCTTTTTCTCTTATTTCAGTCAAACCAAGACAACAGTACAGTACAGTCGATGACTCCTGTCCTCGAGAACTTGAACGAATTCCTCCAGTGACGTCTTCACGCGTATGAACTCCCCCCCCCCGTCCCTCTTGACCCCTCTGGCTTCATACAACGTCGATTAAAAGCAAAGTCGACGTAGTCCGAAGCAGTTGGTCATGGTACGGATTCTTAGGATCCTTGTGTGAGTTAGAAGGTGGTTCACGTGTGTATACGTCTAGGTAGTCTATAGTGAGGTTATATGAGTATGTCAGTATACTATGGGGGTGGGGAGGAGTTAACGTCAGTATGGTGTGTGGTATGGTAAGTGTGTTAAGAACGCAACCAGGGTGAACGCCCTGCACAGACCTAGACCCAAAAAGCGCTCGACGGTTCCATGGGCAACAGCCAGTGGCACTGGGTTAAGGCGAAGTTATGTGGCGTGGTGTAGGCACATATGTAGGTACGACACGAATACGTGTATACATGGTCGAGTCACGTACGGGAACGCACCGCCTAAATGTACAGGGCCATCCAGCTTAGACGGACCAATTAGATTCGAGAGTTGTTAGACATTTGATTTAGGAGCATCAAGAGATTCTATTTATAGAATTAGTGATTCTTTGTCTCTGTTTCGTTTTTGGGATCCGAAGAAAATTGATGATGAAATTATAACTGGAAATTTTTGTTAAGTTTCTTGGTATTGAGGAAAGTTGGTACCAATGAAAATCAAATGACGATAAACTAACTGATAGTTGGTACGGACTGATCCATTTCAAATGGATGGGTCTGTATTGTATGGTGGTTGGCTTATGATGGGTTATGTATACTTTGAGCTATGACCATGACTCCTCTTGGTCTATGGTCTATGGTGTATAGGGTTAGGACCTGGTTCTTTATTATCTATACTCTCGTTCCTGCTTTGTGTTCAAGGCCTTTGATTATACCTGGAGGACCAACAACTGTTTTTTCTTTTTCTTCCTTCACAGTTTACTCTCCTCAGCTCATTCTTATACTTAGCTCGTATCTCCTCGAGCATCTTTTCATTCGAGTAAGAGATAATGCTTGACTTCTCCAGGAAGATTGTTACAGAAAGGTGTGGTTCGTTTCATTTACCTGGAATTCAGAATGATACTTTGGCTCTAACGTTTCGTAGTCGATGACCTGTAGGGGATCTTACAGATCCAATGACGGCAACACAGATTTCTTTGAGTGATTCACTTGAATTGTTGTCATTCGAAGTCGGTCACTTTCTTTCAGGGTGATCATTCCCGGTAGTAAGAAGTCATGGTAAAATTTCATGATACTGAATCATTGAATGTTACCAGAACATAAAGATGTAAGGGATTTACCTTATTGATGGATGAAATCATGCGGTGAATACGTTCCTGAATGATATAACAATATCATGAAAAAAGATTCAATATCCTTATATCTTTATGGATAATAAAACTGATAGGAACTTCCTTCTCTGCCATAAGACTAGACAGAGTGCCACATTGACTCATGTCCCTACACATGATAACTGACCTTCGATTCATAACCGCTATCTAATGCGGTTACAAACTCTTCTCGTGCTCATGCCAATGCCACAAAGTATAAAACAAATGTCACATAATTCCAGAATATGAGAAAATAATCAAGATCATTCTGTACTACAGCCAGAATCCAACAACACAAGGAATACGAACGGAATGCCGTTTTGTATATCTAATCACGAAATCAGGAATGATCCTCCCATATAGCTTATAAGTAAGGTCGACCTTAGATCTTCCCATCCAAAGAACTTACCCAAGAGAGGTCACCATAATTAAAAAAATATCTATCTTAATCCCATATAGATACACAGTAACTCTACATTCTTCAGCATCTCAGATCCTAACTCATATCCTGGATCATGTACGATCTCCTTCGTATAAAACGTCAAATGGAAACTCGGTGCTCCTCATCGTTTATGGAATTCCAAGCCCCACTAGGCGATAGTTCTCATTGTCGGAACTCTCTTCAGGATCCGCACCTATTACAGCGGTCGTACCGAGCAATGTAGTCACTTGCTTTTCCGTGATGATGTCGGCGATCGGGGCCGCTAGCGCTATAGGAAGATATACAAGGCACATAACTGCCGGGCGCTGAAAGAAAGAGAGAGAGAGAGAGAGAGAGAGAGAGAGAGAGAGAGAGAGAGAGAGAGAGAGAGAGAGAGAGAGAGAGAAACGAAGTAGGAGAGAGAGAGTAAGGAAAGAGAAGGAGTAAGGTAATACCAAGTATGAGAGAAAGAGAGAAAGGAAGTCTACAGAGTTAGCTTCCTCGTCGGCTGGATGGTAGTCCATCCTTGATGGAGGTTACTTGAGGCCATCGTCCCACATCTGCTTGAATATGAACTTGCGTCTTGGTTAGACTTGCTTATCGTTTCTCTTAGCCTCTCTTACGTCTCTCTCTCTTTCACACACTTGATTCGTCCTTTATTTTTGTTCTCTCTACGTATCCTCAGCTTCTTTCACCTCTTCTACTTCTTTTATCATACACCACTTTACGGCAGGCTTCTTACTCTTTGTCTCTCCCTTCTTCTTCTTCTTCTTCACTAATACAATCCAATACGTACCACTACTCACTAATATCCTCGACCTCATACTCTTACTGTCCGTCTATCCTCGGCAATGAACTACCTTCTTCCTGGCACCTCGCTTACGGCGCTACGGAAAGTCAACGGACAAGGTAGTTCGACCCGGATTACACTTGAGGCGTCGTTCGCACTTTTCTTTATTTCTCGCCTTCGAGCCACTCTCAGGGTCAAGGCACTCCTGGTGGCTGCCACGGGTTCCTATTATTCTCTAGTTACGTTGCGCAAAAAGGACTTCCATGTGGTGGAGTTACCGTTGTGTCTTTTCGCCGTACGGTCTCTTCGTATTGTTATGATTATCCAGCCTGTCGGAAGAGATGGATAAAAATTCCGAAGTATATACAAATTTATTTTACATAAATTTTGTATACCGTACCTGTTATTATGTCCTCTGTAAGTATTGTACAATTTCACGAGTATCACTGTAGATCAATGCGAACAATCAAAAGTGGTCGACAAGTCTCTCAGTAATATTTCTAATATTTACAATCCTCCATAAATATAAGTTTCGAAACTGTTTTGCGAGTACAAAACAGAATGTACAGTGAGCAGACCGCAATGGCCGCGCAATAAATCACCAGGAGCGAGAAGCTGGTAAATCAAAATTTATATCTACGGTAAAAACCATCGGGTGGTGATATATATTTTTTCCTATATCAGTCATAGCAAACCATTTCTTGTAAGCAAGCAGCCATTGGCACTGAGGATGATAAAAAAAACATTATTCCCAGGACCCTCGTCCCCTTGAAGCAGTGTAAAATGGCCTTTCGAAGAGGTAACGTTATGTCTGTTAAATTCCGGGAGGACGAGAGGGCTGGCTGTGTGACTCGAAGTCGCCGCCACGGAGAAAAAGGACGAGGAGTTACTCTCTCGGCAAGAGAGACTGGGACGACCTAATAAGAGAATAAGTTAGTTGAGCTGCAAGAGAAAGAGAGAGAACACTTCGAGATGAGGAATACAGACCGACGCCATATTGCTGCTTGTATACTGACTCTATACAGTTCTCTTGAAAAGAGCGGTCGAAGACACGAGACCATGCTGGAGTGGCGCGAGACAAGTCGTTACATAAGTAAGGTAAAGAATCTCCTTTGCTCCCCTTGAGCGATCCACATCCGCGATTATGCCACTTTCCATCGACCTCACTTTACCCCATAGATTCCCTCACGAGATCCACCATTAACTACTTTATGCATATGTATACACTTGGTACGCATTTTTAGATGTGACAGACTTATGTGTACATACTTGAACTTATGTACTATATACGTGAAATACTACTCTCTTGATTTTACTGTACATACTATGTATGCGTATGCATGCATGAACCTTTGATTAATTTACAGAATGCAATTTTTAAGAGCTGCTATGCAAGTTGATTCTTTTCTGGGTCTTTATTGCGGGAACCTTGATACATGCTCGACAAAGTAGTTCGTTAGAGAAACGGTTTAATGGCGCTCGTTAGTTTGCGGATTTTCACGGAGAAATTTTTGAGATTAGGTGTCTTAGGATTTTTTTCTTTCTTTTTTTGTTTGTAGGGTATGGGACTTTGTGTTTTCTCTCTGTTTTGGAAGTGTATTATTTGTAATTATTTTTATGGATTAGACGTATGATTTATTAGGTTGAAACTTTTGACTAATGATGATCATGTATCTATTTTCTGGGATATATACATTGTGTGTCAATGGTTTTAGCTTTATCTTAGTTATTCAAGTAAATTTACTTGTAGTCGGTTTATGGTAATCTTCGTAGTGCTACGTCATTTTTTACTGTCTTAGTTTCGAGGTTGTCATTCGTGCGAATCATAGTTAACCAGGAACTGCGGGGTTTGATTAGCTGTTATAAATTTTCTTCCTTAGTGGTAATATCTATTAGTATTATATACATAGATATTTTTGGTTTATTGTTCTTCAACGATTTAGATTTATACATCTATGATTGTATTTTGTGTAAGCATATCCTCCTTTCTATTTATAATCATAAGTAAGTGTTTGTCATTTTTTTTAATGTAACTATACCAAGAATTTATGCGTTTCACCAGGAAACAGTGATAATATTATATTTATTTATACATATAAATTAGCAAATTGAATAACCTCGCTTATGTATAGTATTGGAACCTTTGTTCTCCTTGGAAGACATAGAATTGGTCACAAGAAACACTTATTAAGTATCCATTTACAATAATCGCCTTATTATATAATCATTCGTTAACATTCATATATATAAAGCTGTATATAGGAATATATTATGTATACATAAGCGCATCCTAATTTTGGGAATATTTTCATTTCATATGAAACTCTTGAATTACAATCAGATATCATTGGATATTTTAAATATTGCATTACTCATTTTACTTCATTATGTTCTGATTTAAACAATAAAATCAATAGTGAAGACATCTGGTCATTTAATAACTAATGTTTCATTTTCCATCCCACATTTTCTTATATATTTACACGAGGAAAATAATTTCATTCTAAAAATTGACTACTAAATAAACCTTTCGTGTTCTGTTTAATTTACATTAAAATAGCTCAGCTATAAGCTTTGTACCTGGCTTTTCTATAACCGCTTTATTTTGTATTAGGCGTAATTCGATTTTCCTTGCATGTTGTACTTTATCGTCTTGAAAAGCTTAAAACAATTGTATAAAAATCATTACACAGTTATTTGGCAAATAAGGACCATTTTTTAAATGACAAATATCCTTACCTTGAGCATTTTTAAAAGTGTCAAGCAAAACTTCATGTAAGGTGTTTATGGCAATTTCAATGGCACTTTTTATGTTCTTCTGCAAATGATAATGAGCAAGAAATAGTGCTGCAAAAAGATCACCCGATCCAGTAAAGCTGGTTGGAATTTTTGGTATATCAATCTTAAGCATAGAATCCTCTGAAAAAATTTTGTTTTTCAGTTTATAAGCAAAACATTGTAACTATTATGGCAATCACGTGAGAATTTTTTCTTTTGATTCATTTATGTTATTGAACCAATCTCTTATAACATTCAATACCAAAGTGAACTTGCTTTATTTTGCTTGAACTAATTTAATTAAAATTACCGTTTAATGAACTAGCAATGGCTGTTAACTTTCCATCGATATCCGTCGAGGATATTACAACAGTTTTTGGTCCCATTTTATGTAATTCCTTGATGCCTTCTTTCAATTCGTCAAAAGTACTTGCACTTTTCTGCGTCAAAACTCTGAAAAAATAGGTACTTGTTAAAATTATTAATTGAGTAGCATAAAATCTTCTAGAAACACACATTGAAGATTACATATAAGACGTCAGTTGATCTGAAACCAGTTTTTGTTTCTATTTTGTACTCACTCCAATTCAAACTGATTTGGTGTTACAATATCGGCTAACGGAACTATATCACTTTTATATATTTCTTTCAATTCTTCTGGTACATACATCTTTCCGTTATCTCCCATAACAGGATCACAGACTGTAGGGAATAAAATTAGGTTATGTTAATACCGACATATGATAACATGGAATGCGGTTTCTCTCTCATAGACAGATTTCCAATGAAAATATGTAATAGGTTGCAATTAAATTTATGATTTTTTTAGATAAATACCATATATTAAATCTGGATTTTTCTGTTTCAAAACATGAATCAGTTTTGCAATGCGTCTCAGGAAAGATGCAGAACCAACATATCCGGTAAGTAAGTGACTGTAGTTATCTAAATCATTAGTTGACAGTCCGTCAACCAAGTCATCTGTTTAATAAATAATAATAATTAATAAAAGAATTTGCATTGTTTGATATATACATCTGTTTAATAAATAAAATTAATTAATAAAAGAATTTGCATTGTTTGATATATACGTCTATGTCTATAATGTAATGATGGACAGATAAGATAGTAACTAACACAAATGTGAAAATGAAAGTACTTTATACACCAATCTATAAACTATAAATGCTTACTATAAACCATCAGTAGCTAATTTATTACCTAAATCTTGCGCATTTAATACTTGTCCTTTAAAGACTTTGTACCCTGTATGGTTTGATAACTGTACAGAATTAATTGCATCGACATCAAATCCCAGTAGCTGTAAACAAGTGAATAAATCTAAATACACTTGTTTGCCATAAAGACTAAAACTAGATAAAATCTTCAAAGGTCACAGAATTTCTTCATTGAAATGTACAAATTTCTTTGTACAATAAAGATTAAAACAGACATATCTAATAATTACTTATGTATATCATTATACGTAGTTATTAATATAAGTAATAATTCTTTCCATTAAATTTTTGATTTCAGTTTTTTGAGAAAAATTAATTTCACTTATTCATTCAAACTCATATTTATATAATTAATATTAATTAAATTACATCACCATACCTGCAAAGGGAATGTTGCACTTTTGTTCCCAACATATCCGTACACAACATGACTCTGAATAGATAAAACGTGTAACTTTTGTTCTTCCTTTGCGTTGAACATTCTTAAATATGTAAAAAGCTTACGTACTTCAACTACCTGTATACTTTACTGACAGCTTATCGCTATTGAACAATGCGCAAGACGGAGCAAATGTGTAGAAGTGCAGTAGAATGGCCGTGATATGATCAGATGTGATAGTGATGTAAAAATCATCCTTCCTTCCTCTCCTTGTGGCTGACTCCTCCAATGAGGAGATGTGCCAGTATGTAAAAATCATAAGCATTCCATAGCAATTCAGATATGCTGCATCATAAACCATTATGGGTTAGTTTGCGCAGCTCTTACTGACATCACATTTAAGATGCTAGCTTCGTTACCATATGAGCAGTTTAAATTATTCTTTTAAAGCATCTTTTTTCTAGCGTAGATACGGAATATTTGGCAAGGATACATCATTTTTCTGCAAATTTTAAACAATTTCTGTGACCATGTACGTCATTTATGATGATTTGTTTTTAGTAACCTTTCATTATGTTATAATATGATTGTACTAATTGGAAACTCTTGATATAAGTTGCCATAAGATAATTTAAAAGGTTTATTGGCATTGACCCTGAGAGAACTCAGAGAGAGAAGTGAATAGCTGTTGACTAATCGCGCGTTAGGGTCAAAAGAAGGGAAGCACAAAGATTGGCTAATACCAATTCACTCTTTGTATTTTCACTACATTTCAGTTAGACAATCGACCCCAGCTTCTCATAAAATTTTTGTTATCGACTGAGCAATTTTCTTCTGCTTTAAGATAACCGAAGCAAAAATGAATAGGGAGATGCTCAACGCTACAGTTTTAGGCGATACCAAAATCACGGCGCTAAATCGTAGCGGCGACCGCGGAAGTAAGATTTTATGATTATCGTCTCCGTCGATAATGCGTATCCCGTCGTAGCCGAGCTAAACGTGATCATGAACGTGTAGCTTGGCAAGCAGAGGTTTTCCACCGTCAGGAAATTAGTGCGGAAAAATAAATATGTATATATTTATAATGCTTAAAAATTTGCTCCTTACATGTTTCATATGTTTCCGTAATTGCTCCGCTGCTACTATGCAATAATTAATAAATATTCATTAAAACAGAAAAATGTTATTTTCATTCCAAATAACCAAACAGATTTTCATATGATTTTCTTGATGAATTAATTGCTCTGTTGTGATCACGTGACTGTTTGGACAAATTTGCGTGAACAACAACTCCATCCTTATAGCCGGCAAAAGTCCATCACTTCAGGCCCGAGAACTACCAGCACCGCGTATGATTTTGCGAGTAGTATTTAAAGCACTCCGCGGAGCAGCCTAACTTTCCGGGGCAGATTCTGTACACCGATGAAACAACATTCACACGAGAAGATATATTTAATACTCGGAACAACCATGTGTGGGCCGAAGATAATCCCCATGCTAAGTTTATTCATGGCTGCCAAGTGAAATTTTCAGTCAACATGTGAGCAGATATCATAGGGTATCCTATATGGGGTATATGTTGCCACCACGATTGAACGGTAAAGTATTTCAGCAGATGTTCCACGTAGATTTTTCGGCTATTCAAGTCATCGAAGCCTGCAAACAAGAAGCTCGCATTATTTGGCTAAAAAACTTCATTCCTCGACGATAACGTTTACCAGTCGTGTGTATCTGGCGAACGCTCTGATATAACAAACCGCTTCGTCCCCTAGGTATGCAACGTTCTCTGCAACGTCAAAGACATCATCATGGATATCAATGACTTTGATAAAGCGTTAAAAATATGGGCTCGTTGTAATTCTTGGAGTTTTTAATCAAAAGGTATTTTTAAAATTTTAATTATATCTTTAACATTATATTTTACATTATATCTTTTCTATGTGAGTAACAAAATATATAACAAAACAAACAAATAATAACAGCAACAAAATAGCAAAATATAACAAAACAAAGTAACAAAATATATAATACTTACAAGTATACTAATATATTATACTTACAGGGAGAATCTTCTGCGTCTCGGCGAGATTGCTGTTCGCCTGTTGCACCGCTATTCGCGCCTCGTACTCCGAGGCTATCGCGTTTTCGACTTCGAACTTGAGCTGCGTTAGCTCTCAAAGCGAGGCGGAATTGTTTTGGGAGATGAAGCGCGCTTCCGACTCCTGATGGCGGCGCTGCTGAGCGTCCTTGACGTCCTCGTAGGCGTCCTTCTGGTCTTTGAGATGCTCGCCCACCTAGATCTGAGCTCCTGGTCGTGGAAGCCATGTGGGTTTAGCTGGTAGCTGGTGTGCTGGATTTTGTTGTTGACGCCGTGAAGCTTGTTCGAGATGTCGTTGAGGGCGGTGTCAGCGCCGATTACCGGCAGCGGGTATGCCAGCACCAGTATCGTCTCTTCGGCCGAGGCCGTCGGAAGACCTGCTGAAAAAACGTGGCGATTGGGAATCGTGATTTCGATAAAAGTTTCGGATTGATTTGCTTTGATTTTGCAATTCTTCGAGCGATAATTGTAATAATAATTACAATTTAAAGTAAAAATGCGTCGAAATTAATGTTTTCATCATAAAATAATGCAATTACATAATTTAACTAATTAATTTAATTTATTTATCAATTTAATTGTTGCAAACGACGCCGTTTGCGAGAAAACAGAACGGTCGGTATAAAAAATGAGGTATAGGTTCAGATAAGCAGATATCTGAGTTCTGACACAAAAAATGTAACATTTTTTTTTTCTTCAAATTAAAGTAAAAATGGGCCGAAATCAGTGTTGTCATTATAAAATAATATAATTAATTAATTTAACTAATAAATTTCATATATCTGTCAATTTAGTTGGTGTAATTTTTATTATTGACTAATTAAATTATATCTTATTTTTATTAATTTATTCATTTAATTCGTCAGTTTACCGCGTACAAATAGACGATCAGACGTTGGATCTTACGTTTATATTGAGAAGATAGAAATTCCACGCTTCAACTTACCACAGCAGATCCCGAGTAGAACGGAAAAGGCGATCGTGAAAACAGTCATAATTGGGTTACGATCGAGCGATCGACAGGTGGAAAATTGTTCTCAAGTAAACGAGTGAATTAAGCTCGTGGGACCGTCGCGTTCGTACTGAAACTTTGAGGCGCGTGTTCAAACTCTTGTACGGCTCTTATGTAAGGTAAACGGCCCAGTCAGTGACAGTTGAAAAGCGGCCGTGTCGAATCTTTGCTATTTATTCACGCGTGATATAGCCAAACTGAAAACTAAAGGTTTCAACACGTGCGTTGAAGCCTTCCGAATGAGATTCACCTATTATACAAGTGAAACAATTAAGGTTTATTAATAAAATTATTCTTTTAACAGCGCTTCTTTGCTACTGGGGTTTCTAACACTAGAGAAACACCCATGTCGTAGTTTGTGATCTCTGGGTGTACCCGATTTGTGACATCCTTGGAGCAATTTATGGCGCATGCGCAATCTATGACGCCTGCGCGTACCACTTCCAGCCACTTCTGAACATCCCCATACAAACGAGTGTCAACAACACAGCAACACAATCTGAATTATGTGACGTACTTATTGATCCCGCGAATTTGAATAAATATCTAACCAAAAGTTAAATAATTTCTCATCTCATCCATAGTCTGGTTCCTGCTGAAGATGTTGACACCATTTTTATGCCGTTTTATATTTACCTGACGAGCAAAATTCACCACGACGTAGTTCGTCGCAACCATTGCCGCTGCGAAGCCACTGACACGCTTGGCGCACTATTCACTGGTCAATTCCTATTCTAAAATATTTCATTTACAGTGTGTTTCTCCAATAATATTAAGTGAAAAATACTTTTTAATTAGCCGGTAATTGAATTACTATTCGACAAAAACTGTATTTATGGCAGACAAAATTATGTCATCGGTATCATAATCTAGAACGGTGTCGATAACAGGGCCGTTTACTTTACTATATATGAGACATACGGGGACCCACCGTCTGGTGCGTACAACCGGTGGGGCCACGTCACCGTGAAAATCACCGCCGCACACATGCGATAGTAAAGCCAGACGAGCGCTAAACGTAAGTCGGCGATTGATACCGTCAGCTGAACTTCACAATCGTGCGCTGCATTTTTGTGTGGGAAATTCGCTTGACAAGAGCGTAACGAGACATCGCAGCTCGCTGGCTATATTCCCCCCCTGCTTGATCCGGGCACAGCTGCAGCGAAAATAGTAAAACACTGTCAATTCCATATTCGAGAATAGACAAGCGTTAGATAACTCGTCGCTCTGTGTCGAGAGATAAATATTCAACGTTGAAAGAAATAACGATGGGAATAATTGATTGAAAATCATGAATTATTAGATATTTTAGCGTCGCATATTTTATTTTTCTCGTGTCCGTGAATGAAAAAGCGATTTGACTATCACGCGACTAAAAAAGGCATCCGCTGACGCCGCGAAGCATCAGGGTATTAGTGGCCCGTATGAGCTTCATGATGATGTTCGTCGGCCGGGGGCTGACGCTGAGCTCTTTGCCGAAGTCGAGGATTAATCCGAGAAGTCCCGAGTTCGGGCAAATGATGCTCACGGACTCGTGGTCCTTCCGACTGGGCGTCGGATTTCTGCGCAAAAGAGAAAAAAATTAATATGAACGGAGGAAAATAAGGCGATCAAATTGGATGCAGCAGGCAATTAATTCTCTGGGTCAATCAATTAATTGGCTGCGCCAGTGATTGTCATACTCAATTACATAATTGTTAAGCAAAATTTTCTGGTTCAGCCAGTCAATAATTTTTCTTTCGACGAAGAACATTTTTTGAAAGCCACAACGATCGCCCCGAAAAATTCTCCGTCCGACAAACCTACCCGTATTTCGCAAAATTCGTCCACATCGAGATCACCCTATCGATAGTACGGTGCATGGGATCCTCGGGATCGGTGCTGTAGTTCGCTTCGGGATAGTAAAAAAGACAGTCTACATCGTCGCTGTGTTCCACGCCTTTGTACAAAAATAGAAAAAAAAATTAACAATAGCAAAGAATAAATTTAAGAAGAATCAAAAAAACAAAAGTTTCAATTGCTTCATACTCAACAGAGAATCCTTCTCCTGGACATTGTTATGCATTTTGCCCGTGTAAAATGAAACGTGATAGTAGTAAATTGGCTTTCCGTCGTTTTTAGTCGAGAGGATCTGTTGAGTCTGACCGAGCTGCGAGGAGATCAGGAGTTGTGACGTTTCCTGACGAAAAACAAAAACCAAAAAAAAAACGAAATTCCATTCGTATCCGTTTTGCAAACGCGCGAAACGTCTTGGCTATATTTATGAATGAGTTACTTCGACGATGAAGTTGACCTTTCTGACCGTGAAATTGGTCAGCATATTCAATGCCGTGGTAATGACATTTTTCGCCAGACCCGCCCGGCAGCGCCATTTCGTGGTCCTTGACCGAGCCGATGACTTCATTAACGATATCGGTGAAGGGTAGAAGAGCTGTAAAAAAATAATTCTCTTCAGTCATTCGTTACTCGCACAAATTTGCAGTTTACGGAAAATCCAATTTCCACTGATTGTTCTTGCCGTGAGCGAACGGGATGGTTTCTTTGTCGATGTAACCCATCAGCTGGGGAACTTTGCTGAAATTTCCCCTGTGATACTTGGCGATCGGGCAGTCGGTGAGAAACGCATCCGTGGCGATGTTCTTGTCCTCGATCGTCGGCCCGAATGGTACGTAGACCTGTAAACATCTTTGTGTCTTCTGTTCAACATCAAGAAGAAGGGTCGAAAAAAATGTGTTCGCTGTTCCCGCTTTACCAGGTGAATGTCCGCTGTCGCTTTAACGAGATCCGCGGCAGACTTCTCGCAGAAGGTTTCGAGAAGCGTCGCCGAGTCGAACGAGTTGTTCCTAGGATATTTCCGAGTTTTTCAGCGCGAGCAAAAGCCTTCGTCGGTGATTGGAATGCCCAGGGGTCAAGCGGGACGCCAATCATGGAGATTGCGCCTTGAAAGAGTCCTAAAAATCCGAGCCTGATATTTGAAGAGATGTTTCATTCACTCGAGCAACTTGGCTTCTCGGTACAAGGCGGTACAAGGAAAATGCATTACCGACTGAGGCGTCCGAGAGAATGTGATAGCCAACCGATGCGCCTCCGGTGTCTTGACCGACGATCGTGACTTTATTCGGATCACCACCGAACTTCGCGATGTTCGCCTTCAACCACTTAAGCGCCAATACTTGATCATTCAGGCCGGCGTTCCGGTTGCGTTTGCGTAACTAAGACTCAGGAAACCTGCGGGAATCGTCAATTTCCAAATTAAATATTTGCAAAAATTAAATTAAAGTTAAAACAATTAAACCCTTTCTCGCGCAGATTTTCAGAGAAATAATTTAACAATAAATACCCAGAGGCCCGAGTCGATTATTGAAAGCAGCGTAAAGGACGTCTTTTTCGAGCAGATAATCTGGTCGGTATCTATGACGACGACCCCCTGACGAACGGCCCGCCGTGAATCCAAACAAACACAGGCTTCGAGTTGCACGGCGTCTCGTTCAGACTCGTCTGTGTTGTAATTAGCAGACACGAATTATCGATAAAATGCGGTTCTCAATTTAAAGCGCTCGAAATGTTTCTCTATCAACAATGCAGAATACCAATGTGGTGAAGACATTCAAGAACAAGTAATCCTCGGATCCCACGACGTTGCCCGACTCGTCAAGTTCAATGCAGTCGGCTCCGTCTTGGGTCGCGATCATCGTCTCCGCACTCGGCTCAATCGGTATGGGCGGCTGGAAGAAAAAAACCCAATCGAAATTTCAACAAAGTGCTACATATTTTTCATTTTGACACGAAAGATATTCACCTTGAATCTGAGATGTCCGAGCGGTGGTTTCGCGTATCTTATTCCCTTGAAAGCGGCGTAATCTACCGAATTACCCGTCTTGAGAATTGCCCCCTGCATCGGACCGGTAGTCGTTTCAACCACGGCCGTCAATTCGTTCGCGACGGTCACCACGAAGAAATCAATCAGCACGATCAGGAGCATCGTCGGAATCACCCTCGAATTTTTCCAGCAAAGGTTTCGCATCTCCGAAGATTCTTCCTCGTTCGCCGAGTGCGACAGTGGCTCACAATCGTCGATTATATACGCTCCAGGAAACGAACCCTGCCTGGTGGTCGTTCGTTTGAAAAACGTTAAGCATTAAGCGAAAAAAACTTGTTTAACCGACTACGATAAAATGACCATATTCCATCCCTGCAACGCGGGCGGAAAGTAATTAATTTTTGACCAGAGAGAAAAAAATGTGATTTTGCGGGCAAAAAAGTAAATTTGCGGGCAAAAAAGTGATTGTTGCGGGAAGAAAACGGCTCTAAAGAGAAGAAATGAGATGTAAACATACACCTGTATATTGTAGCGTTGTGCCGTTGCAGGCATAGGAATATGGTTATTTTAAAAATAGTCGGGTAAAAAGTAATATATGCCACACGGGAGGAGCGCAGATTTTCATCTCGTGCTCGTGTTGCCTCCGCTTCGCTCGGGCAGCAAACCTCGCTCTCGGCAAAAATCACGCACTTTCCTCCCTAGTAGCATAGTCTACTAATTAATTGCTTCCCCCTCGATATCCCTCAAGTCACGTTGCTTCTATCTTCTTCGCACTCGCAAGCGTTCGAATAGAACGTGGAACAGACGCGCAAGAACGCCCGAAGATAAAGCCTTTGCTGGGAAGGCGGACAGTTTTTATTGTGTAGACAACTGTTGGGCGCTCGCGAAATGAGATTACCTGATTACGTCAGGACGACGATGCCTACCGATAACATTTAACATTAGATTCACGGACTGAGCCAATTTGACTCATGTAATGTATTTTAAGAACAGAGTTTAAATGTAAAAAATGTTTTCAATGAGTTTTTTAATAATAAATATTTCATTTAAATTAATTTCGAACTATTTTCTTTGCAAAAAACTTTAATTTTCTTGTATGAGTCGAATTGGCTCACTTCAGTAAAAATAGGTATATGAACATCCATAAATCTAGTGTTAATCGTTAATACTTCTCAGTGATCGATCGATTGACCGAATTAAAAATTGAAAATATTACCAATGCTAAAATAGCGATGCGTACGGTTTCTTCTTATTTACAAAGCTGCTAACTGAATTCAAACGTCGGCGGCGTGTCTCCTTTAATTCGCGATCGTTCTTATCGCACGTACGGAAGACAAAAGCTTTGCTTTCGCGCAACAGCGAATGGACGGAGCACGAAGAAATGAGGAAATTGAAGAAAAAAAAAACAGATTGCGGTGGAAAAATATCGGTACGCGAACGATAATGTGTACTATATCGAGCCGAGATTGTCGAGAATTTAGCGGGTATGAATATTCTCACGCAATTATCGTGGCAATGGTACGGACGAGTTTTACCGTACCGCAAATAAGCGGTTTTTCTATCTGAATATTGATAATCGTAGCGCGAAAGCGTTTCTTCGTATTATCCCCGCTTCGCTATTTGGGCAGCAAATATAATTTTCTTTCTCGGCGGGGGCGAACGAAAATTTACGTTCGTCGATTCTCCTCGATGTATAAGAAAATTTGAAAGTTCTTCAGAGATTACTGTAGACTTCGCGCGAATAACGGAAAGAAAAATCACTCGTTAATTAAATATTATTTTTTAGCGACTGCGGGAAGATTGAAGTGAAAGACAAAAAATAGACAAATAAATGATAAATATTGCACAGTGTAACGAAACTTAAGGCTACGAAGGGATTGATTAACGCGTAACAGTCGTTTATCCGGAGGACGTTGAAACTTGGTACGTTCATCCTCCCGAACCCGCGACCAGCAACGCAATTAACAGTAGACAACGTTTACATTGCACGATGTAAAAATATCCGGTCGTTAAGTGTTTGTGCGTGTGATAGTTTTTCTGCCACTGCCACTTGTCGTCTTCTCGCTTCGTATCTCAGCGAGCGATGAATGTCATTATGACATCCGGATTGGCGGACGCCTGAAGGTCTATGTAAACCTTGCGTTCTTTAGCATCTTTCAGAAGTGCCTTCCACGTGGGATCCCTCTGAAAACGTACAATAATTCTTTTATCTAAAAATTGCTTTAATGGGTACCAACTTTATCGAAGCTACGAATTTCGTAAGATTCCCCACGACGCTCAAATATCAACGCTAGATTGGAAATGATCGTTTCGCAAGTTCGGTGTGAAAAATTGGAATAACTTTTTGAAATTTTACAGCTTCACCAACGAAACGACATTGAAAAAAAATATATATATGGCTAAAAGTTCAGTTCACCTCGAACGTCTTAAAGTTGCCGCAGAGTATCAAACTGTGTTTGGCCCTGGTCAGAGCCACGCAGAGTCTCTGACGATCGGCCAGAAATCCAATTCCCTGGCTCCTGACGCACGACATTATCATGACGTCTCGCTCCTGGCCTTGAAAACTGTCGATCGTGTCCACCTTGTAATCTATACTACTCTGGTACTTCAGACACGAGATACTGAAGAGAAGAATGATTTTCATTTGTTTCCCTTTTTTTTTTCAACCAAATTTCTTTGAGGTCCAACCGCTCACCGTTTGCTGATTTTTTTTCTGAGCAGCGTTTTCTGGTTGTTGTACGGCGTGATAACGCCGACGCTGACCGGCAAAATCGCGTTACCGTAGTGCGCCCGAGCTATCAGCGCGTACATCAGATTAGCGACGAAGTCCGCCTCATTACAGTTTGAGAATTTGTCGGCGCTTTGAGTGGCGTTGAGATTGAAGACGCGATAGAAGTGTAACGGAAGTCCGCACTCCTTCGCGGCGTTCTTCAGTGCTCCGTCGTAGAAGTGCCTGTTGGGGAAAAGCGCAATCGGACTGGACATGCGATATTGCGTGTCCAGCTTGATTATCGGATTGTCCGGCTCGCGTTCAAAGATCTTCGATATTCTCGCGAAGAGCGACTGGTCCAGGCCCAACTTCTTCGCTTTCTGTCGAGAAAACATAAACTTCCTTATGTACCTTTGAGTACAAATTATTTCCACGGTGAAATGTGCTTGATAATTTTGAAAACGCGCGCGAAAAAATTACGAAATAAATTCGAAACTAAATAAGTGTTCGTACCTGAGAAAGGACAGTGGCGGGCAGCTGATTGGTATCCCCGACGAGTATCAAAGTCTTCACGCCGAGCATCAGCGGGATCAGAGTATCCGGCTCGACGCTCTGAGTGGCCTCGTCGACGATGCAGACCGAAATCGCCTTGCTTTGGCTGCGATGAGAAAAGTGCACAACGATAAACGAAGTAGAATCTACGGGATATATCTTCGCTTTCGAATACTTGGTTTTTTTTTAAATCCTCACCCAAACATCGATTCCATCTTATCCGTGTAGCACGAAGTGAGAGTACACGCGATCACGTCCGCGTCAATCAGCAGCCGTTCCTCTTCGAAAAATATCCTCGCTTTTTTCTTGCGTTCATAAGCGGGATCGTACATCAGTTTATCGTTCAGACTTATCCGTTCGACATGCTTTGTCGCCAGTTCCCTCGGCAAAATCTCCTTCACCAACGGGTCCATCTTGTCGACACAGCCTACGCGTACGAGGCTGAAGGGCAATTCGCCACGTTCCTTCAACGATCTGTTGATGCTCATCAGTCTCAGGACGACCTCGTCGACGGCCGTGTTCGAGGGCGCGCAAATCAGTATTCGCTTCTTCTTGTAGCCGGGAAGTCGGCGCTTGCTGTGGATTATCTGCGTTATCAGATTGACGATCACTCGCGATTTTCCAGTACCCGGAGGTCCGTGGATCAGGCATATTCTCGGAAGCTCCTGCACGACTGCCGCCGTTATTTTCGTGACAGCCTCCAGCTGCCTCTCGTTCAGGCAATCCTACGGTGAATTTTCCATAAGAAAAGTTAACGACAAAGGTGACTTTTGATCTATTCGAATTTCCGAACGCCACCAAATTACCTTCGTGACCAGAGGATAATCGTCCAAGTTGTTCGTGGCGGGCAGCCGGAAATACATGATCCTAGGATGCAAAGTTATAATCCCCAGCGGTGACTTCGGGAGATACCGAAGAGCTTGAACCGATCGTAGGGTCGGTCGAATGTACGAGACAGGCTGGAGGTCGCCGCATTTCAATTCCGCGTCGACCCATGGCTTCGTCAACACGGTGTACGGTCCTCCCCCTTTCTGGACTCTCGCGACGTACGCGAACGCTTTCTGCACCGGAAAACCGCACTCGTGTCTCCGTTTCGACGTGTAATTGAAGATCACGAGATCCCCGTGAACCGGAAGCTCCTTGTAAATGCCCTCGATGTACAGCTCCAAAACGCTCACGTACAATTTTTCCTCATGTACCAGGAAGATCTCGGTCTTGCAAGTGGAGATCCGGTAACTTTACAATAAACCGTATCAATTAATCATTACATTTTTGTTTCCTTTAAATGCATATTGGGCTGTTTCGCCGATATTAAAAAATTTAACAAAAATTTGCGAAAACAAGACCGCATCAGCCAACAAATTTTATTTTTGATCAGTTGTATTTGTTGCCCAGTCGATCGGTAAATTTAATTGAAAGAAAATTAAAATTGTCCGTTAAGGACAGCAGCGGAGAATTTGTGTTAATGGAGAGGAGGATGCTCATGCACAAGTTTACGCCATATACTAGGAAGGTCTCGGTCTTGCTCGTGGAGACCGAGAAATTTTGAATTAAACCGTTTCTATTAATTATTCTGTTTTTTTCCTTTGAATTCATATTGGGCTGTTTCGTAGACTTTTAAAAATTCAACAAAAATTTGTGAAACACCCTGATGTATGTATATATATTTTTTTTTGAAAAAAAAAGAAGACCGCATCAGCTAGAAAATAGTATTTTTGGTTAGACGTATTTGTTATCTAATCGATCGAAAAATATTCTGAAAAAAAAAAATTTAAGTTGTCCGTTCAGGACTGAAACGGAAATTTTTTGTCAATGGGGAGAAGGCAGAAATACGACGAACTAAAATCATTTTTTTCTGACTGATTTCAGACCCCTCAACGTGTTCGCTCTGAAAGCGACCATGTTCGCTCGACCTACCGCCAAGGAATTTTTTTCTCTTCCTGGTAGGTTCTCGATATTCCGTGCCACAGCTCCAGGCTCAGGAGGGGCCCGACGATCCTGTAATATTCTTCGTACGTTCGATACACGGGCAGCGTCGCGACGAGTTCGTCCTCGTCCGCGAAGGACGGGGTACCTCTAGTCTGATTTTTCACCTGCTGAAACATTTATGCGAGAGTAGGAAAAATTGGTGTTCGATTACCTACCGGGGGGGATAGGGGAGCAGCGGTTCCTTCTCACCTCCAAGCAGTTGGGATTCCAGTCAAAGATTAATCTCAGAAAATTCTCCAGGTGGAAATGTTCCGGATCGACCGCCACGCTCCGGTTGGTTTTTTCATTGGGACTGAATATACGAAGAGTTTCATGTTTTTCTAGTATTGATTTCGAGGATTTTTCGATTCTCGGCGAGGATTTTGCGATTCTCGGCGAGGATTTTGCGATTCTCGGCGAGTCCTTTGCGAAGACTCGCAGAATTCTTTCGACCCTCAGCAACTCAAACAACCAACTACAGCAAGACGAACCAAGGCGAACGAAGGAGAACGAACAATTCTCAATCGCTGTCTCGTCATGCTTGCTGTTCAAAGAGTAGCTATTTCCCATCCCTTTGCCGTGTATCTTTCCCGGAGTGTCGTCACTCTCGCTGGAGAGTCGCTACTTTCACGCTCTACGCGACGACGCGTTTTGCCGTCGATTCCTCCGCGATCGTCGCTTTCAGGGCGAATTTGGCCGTCGCGTTCTGTGACTTCTCTTCTGGGGAGCTTCTTCTCTTCTCTTCTGGCTTCCCGAACTGCTGTCCGACTTGCTTGTCTGCAATGTACGCCCCTCGAATAGTCCTTCGGCCCCCTCGGGTGGTGTATCTGGCCGTCTTGGCGCAATGATCTGTAAAATTTAATTTTTTTTTTGTTAATAAATATGCTTAAAGTCAATACAAAACGGGGCAGTCTTGAAATTATATATATATTGTGACGTTATTTTATACCGTCACAAGACTCTGGAAGAGTAACTCGCGTGTTTCAATGGCGGGACGCAGTTCCGTCCCTTTTTCTGGCAACCCAGCACGATACCGGCTAAGAACTCCAGGCTCATAGACTAGCTATCGAACCATAAGCTAATTCCAAATTGTACATTATTTCATACATCGCGAATACGACACCGTACCGAGTCATCACGAAATAACAAGCCACCAAAGGAGGACTTGCCAAATCTACGCCAAGGAACGTGGAGAGCTGTTGCCGATACCTGACGACTCCACCCTGGATGGACCCTGCCCGAAGTAGAGTACGGAGGGCCAATTACAAAGTACAGCGCCATGGACTACACCTCACCTCTCG